TATTTGAAAAATGCTCCACTATGCTTTCCAGCTGGTCACTAAAAGTGTTTTTCTTCTGTTTGGTTCCAATAAGGTATAGTGTAAAGTGGATTTTTAGATTTGTATTGTGTCTAAAACAACAGTTAAATTGCGTCAGACAGCTGAACATAAAAGCCACATAAAGCTGAGGGGGGCTGCAGGTTTAGAAAATCATTTTCTGTAGGTTTTCACTATGAGTGACCCATTTCACATTGTCATTTAATACATTGGTGTTATTGTAATCTCAATTGTAGGCACTTTGAATCAACAATGTACAAAGTACAGCTGAGGCTGAAGGGATGAAATGTCCCGAGGGCAACATGAATGTCTGATATGTAATAGCGACCACTCAATTGCTTCTTAAACATTTCACACAAAACCACAATTGTCGACCTGCTGATGACCCTAGGTAAAAGTCAGAGTTTACTTATTTTTTATTTTTTATTTAACCTTTATTTAACCAGATAAAAAACATTGAGATAAAATCTCATTTTCAATGCTGACCTGGCCAAGAAGGCAGCAACGTTACACATAACACATAACACAAACATATAAAATACAGAGAACATAAAGAAAACAAAAGACGAAAAAGCAGTCACTACATTGTGCACATTAGGACAATAAAAAAAGTACACTACTTGTTACTGCAAGAGCAGCTGGTGGTGAGGACTTACTGAAGTGAGGATGATCATGAGGATGATCATCATCTGGAAACTATATGTCTTTACAAACTTTTGTGCCAATCCATCCAATAGTTGTTAAGATATTTTACTTGACAAGTGAAAACTTAGATTTGTTCTGGTACTAGAGGTCAGGGGATCACCAAGTTTAGTAAGATTACACAAACAACAGAAAGACGTGTCATCCCTTAAACCAAGCTTACGCTCCAGTACCTTCAATTCATCTTGCTACTATTTATCTGTTAGACCATCATTTGGCCTTGTCTTGGCCTTGCAGCTCTTAGCTGTCTCCCTTAAAGCTGAGAGTGAACAGCACTTTTTCTTGAGGTCTTAGACCATCTAGCATTGAGCCTCAGAGGACTTTGCATCGGTCAGATCAATCAGGTAAAAAACCCAAATACAACCGTCAGGATTTGTACAATGATGAATCACTTACATATTCACTCATTTCACATAAAGATAAATATACAGTTCTGCAGTGCATGTGATACATACTGTCAACAGAACCACCCCACCTCCTCTCAAAAGTCCTTGAAAATAGCTCTATAATTTAATTAGTAACAGCTTGACCCTCTTAGACTTGAGATGTGTCCTTCAGAGTCCACACAGGCTGACAGGGACCTGAACATGATGCATCTGCTGTCGCTGGATGTGTGTGAATAACGTGGTTTTGCATTAACAGCCGGGTGCAGCACTCCTGGGGAATGAAAGAACAAAGGCTGATGTGTAGGCCGGCTGTTTCTGTGAAACTGACTGTTTTTAGATCACGGAAAGTTAATATACATAGGGACTTTAGGTGAATTGGCACATGCTCATTCTGTTGCTCCACACTCCCCAGTATGCTTTCACATGACTTTGAATTGTTGGGGTCAATTACAATATTTATCAAAAATGTCTCTCTTGGTTCCTAATATCTGATCTACAATCACAGATACTGTGTCATGTTTGTGTTTCTTTGTAGTATTGACACAATAATTATACGATATAATTACTTTTTGGGTGCTACCTCCTTGAAGTCAATATCAATATCAATATCAAGGCTTTATTGTCATTTGTTCACAGTGTAGATTTGGCAATGAAAAACTTAGGTCAAAGTAATTAATTAAGGCCTGCAACAAAGATGGAAACTGTTGGTGGGTCTACAACTGAATCAAACATCTATCAAGGCCCAGATTAGACAGAGTGCATTTAAGCAGGGTTTGAGTTTCTTTCAATGGCAATGTAGCTTTTTACCCTGTTTCATGTTGAAGAAACGTCCTACGTCATTGCAATTTTTTCTGGTTGTCTAATTGGATACATTGAAAGGCGGGCAATCGGTGCAACTGTTGCTGTATAGCCGGAGCTATATGAATTTACCATACGCATAGTTGCCATGTTCTGAAAATATATTATTATTATTATTATTATACTATTAGCACAAAATACAATTTGGAAATGCTCTGATACTAATTATACTTGCCCAGGACATAACAGAGAGTTCATAATTGACAGATAGTTTGACTGAGAAAACAGGCCACTTATTTTATTTTTAAATTAGATATTTTAACATTATTTTAATTACAATATTGTCTTACAATATTATACAATATTGAAATAAAAACTTCAACCCCCTCAGGGGCACCAATGTATATCTTGCCCCAGGCACCAAAATGCCCACAAATGCCCCAGCACTCAGTAATGAAAGTCTGCCTGAGAAAACTCATCATATTATGACAGATCCAAAGTTTATGCAGCAATTATCCTATCCTAAATGTCGTAATTACATTTGATACTGGATAAACCTGTAATAACAAAAAGAAAGCAAATACATATTATTAAACATTTAACTGTTTGTATTAGGTAATAGGAAAACAATGTATCTTGTCTTAACATGTTAATAAGTTTAACTTGGCTTCTTTAACTATTTATTTGAAAGGCCTGTGACAGGAGTGACTACTTACTTTGGCTCAGAAACATGGGAGGACTCTGGTGGGTAAAGTTGAGCAAACAGAACACCAACGTGTGTCTTATCCCGTACTTTTCCTGTGATTAACACTCCACTTTAATCTGGCCACTTGGTATTTATTTCTCTGTTAAGTCCCTGATCCAGATTTCAACACATTTTTCTCTTTTCTTCAGCAATTCTTCCACGTCAGCTACAGTAAGTGTGTTTTTTGTCAGACATTTTGCCCAAAAGCACTTCCATTCCAACCGCATCACGTATCTTGAATATATACAGCTTGCATGTTTTCTCTGTATTTTAGGCTTTTTTTTAAACTTGTGCAGCAGAAGTTGCCAGAGCAGATGGCAGCATTTGGTTCTGCCATTTTAAAATGAACAATCACGAAGATAGCTAATCAAGACAAATTACTTCTTAACACTGAGTTTTCTCTTCAGAGGTGGCGCTCCCTCCTCAGTCAACAGATGAAATGTGGCGTGAACGCTCATGCTGTGTTGACAGAGCTGTCGACAAAGACACAAGGCCTGGGCAGACACCCAGCATATAGCTAAATGCCCTGTCATGCTGGCAGTGATATGCTTAACACACACATGCATGCATAAGATACACAGATACATCCACCCCCCAACCCCACACACTGACTGCTTGAAGTCTCCCCATTTTGGATTAGGGCACAAGAAGACATGAATCATTGTGTAATTGGCCTGGGAAGAAGCGTTGGACAAAACAGGCAGCACAAAGTTCTGAGGCTGTTCATTGATGCACAAAAAAAGAATTAGGCAAACATTTTAGTAAGTTGTGCTGTCAATTTAGCATAAATTATAAACATTAAACGCTGGCTGTAAATTATATTGGGCACAGAAATCATGTGCATTGTTATTAAATCTCAAATAAAGCAACTAAATGTGTGTTGTCACCTTTCACTTTTCAGTTACATTTGCAAATTGATGTTTGACAACTCTTCAAGTTGCAGTTTATAATTTACTTTTTAAATAAATAAAAAAGCACATGTACAGTAGTTGATCATTAGGCTGATATTTCCCAAGAACCTTCCATTATAAAAAAATTGTTTTGGCTAACACAAACAGCTTTTGAATCTGCCAATTGTCTTGACCAGCTCTACCTTTAACCAATACAAGCTTCCTCTGGACATGCATCTGATGCTTCCCAGATATCATTTACAGACAGGTTCAATCATCTGAATAGCATGTGCAATGTATGTGTTTCCATGGAAGCAAAAATATTTATGATTACAATCAGCTGGACAATAGTCCCATTTTGGAAAAGATTACTCGCACACTCGTTCTCTGTCTTTGCTCACCAAACACCGCTCTGATGCATCACAAAATTGCAAAATGCCATATTTTCTAATAGAAAATGCATAAATGTTGTGACTATGGCAACCATGATACAAAATTCTCATTTGTCATTCAGATTTACATCTTAATTCGCCATTCCAAAACAAATCTGGTCCTCCCTTGAATTTATCCAAGTGGTTTATGAGTGGCGGCAGAGACTGTTTCTGTCTCTGTCTGGCCCCAGTGTCTGCCGGTGCTTAAAATTATGAATCTAACAGCTGTTTACAAACAGCTATCAGACCATCAGGTAAAGACTAAACACGGACTGAATGGTTGGGGAAAGCACCAGCAGTCTTTATTTTGGTTTAGTGGCCCCCTGTGGCCTGCTGAAATCCCCTTTAGACCAACCTTACTCCGTCTGCAGTCTCCTTAATATCTGATTATTGTTCTGTTCTGACCTGTGTTCTCTAAAAAATGCTTTGTTGTGAACCTTTGTTGTTGAAAGCTCTTATAAAACACACACACACACACACACACACACACACACACACACACACACACACACACACACACACACACACACACACACACACACACACACACACACACACACACACACACACACACACACACACACACACACACACACACACACATTTTCATTTGTATACCCATGCACTGTAAGGAGTAGATTTTGTAGCTGATGAATATTTGATTAACCAATGTTAGTCATTACTATATTTTACCAGATCATTTGTTATGAAGGAATCATTCACGCACATTTTGGTTATTACCTTGTGTTACATTTATATATGAATGATAAGAGATCAGAAATCTTTCAGACTCACTATATTTTATTGTTTAACTTGAAGACTTGACCTACAATTATTTTTCTCAAGTGCTTCTCAGACCTCGCAGATTTATGGTCAATTTTTGAACATTTTAGCTGTGACAAACATTATTAATATATATGTAATTACAATGTCTGGGTTCTTTCCATGGTAAATCAATAATCGGTTTGGCCATAATGCAAACCAGCCAAGGTGAACACCTCAGGTCACACAACAACAACTCTGTTAAGGCAGTGTTATATGAACAAATCAAGAAGTTAGAGAGAGGGTTGCTCGTGCCTAGTACTTCAAACACATCATCTTTGATTAGACTCTGTCTATGAAAAGAACATTAAAGAATGTTTGTTTGTGTTTCTCCAATTCTGCTGCCACAAACCTCATTAACCAAACAATTTGTGGTGAATAAGAAATGGCTTATTCATTTCTGAGAATCATGGTATGCTGCAGGAGGCAATGTTAAAGTATTCTCATTTAATCCCATGCAAATGTATATTTGACATCTTTCATTTTGTCTTTGTAAACAGCGTCAAAGTGCGCTTCTTCTGCCGGGGTTAGCTGGTTTTTCCAGTCTCCAGCAATTCCTGAAACACAACATGGGGAAAAAAGGAAATCCTTATTCAGTTGGAGAAATATGTGCACCTTTCTATCTTATTTTGAATAGACACATATGTTCTTGCTATTTAGAAATACAGTATGTCAGTTTCTATGTGAGGATTCCCTTATGGTCCTGATACCATCCACCAAACATGACTCAGCACCAATGAATGCCCTACCCCCAAAGACATGTTATGACTAGATAGTACAATATTAGTGAGAAAATAAAACAATAAAGCCCAGCAAACTCTCCATAAACACCATTATGTATTTCATGAACAGATCATTTCAGGTATACAGTATTTGCATTCTTTTGGTTGTTGTATTTTGATGTGTTAATTGTTGCATTAATGCAATATTACATCACTATAATCATTCTACTAAATGGCATGCTTTCTGTTGGGGAAATAATTTCCAAGGCCCATAATTTTGACCCAGTTTATCAGTTCATACTGACCTGACTGAGCACACGCACCTGTGCTCTCAGTGTTTTGTCTCCCTGTTCCTGCCTGTTGGCGTCAGCTGATAGAGGTGTTAGGATTCTATCTTGTTATGCACAATAGCCGCGTTCACACCGGAGTACTTTTCACCGTACTTTTCGCGTTTAGTTCCGTGAGTACCCCTTATGTCGCGTTCACACCAAAAATCGTACTTAATCTCGGGAACTTTTACCCCCATTTTTAGAGCCTGCTGAGAGATCGTACTTTCCTGTGGGTGAAAAGTGCCCCAAAAGTGCCCCAGTGCTGATTGGCTGGGCGAATTGCAAACCACGCCCGTACAACTGTGAAAATGTTGTGTGGAGCAGCCATTGTTTTTCCTCGCTACAAAAACAAAGCAGTTATGGCAAGCATCAAGAAATGATGAGGAGGTGTCGGCGCTTCTGGAGATCTACGCCGAGGACGCGACCCAGGGAATGGTACTGAAGCCAGTTCAGTAGCTTTCACTCGACCTGGGAATGTGCACAGCCCCACCGGCTCAAAATAAAGAAACTCAGGCAGGACTACAAACGGCGGATTCAGTGGCCAACGATGACTACCACGACGAAGGTAAAATCAGCTACATGCACTGGGGTTTTAATCTGCACAATAATGGTCTCAGATGTACTTTTATTTGCTCAGTAGATCAAGCTAGCCATGCTAGGCTGAATAGGCTAACACCGGCCACGAGCTAGCTACATCTAGCTAGCTAGATATTCTCGGCCACTATGAAAACGTTTTGACTTGTGAATAACTGTGCAGTGTTTCTGTAATTTGCTTCACTAACTCATGGCACTAATCGTCTGTTTCAGGCGAGGATGGACAACTCTCGGGATTGGAAACAAGCGAGCTTTGCATTCTAGATCACAGCGCTTGGTCGTCCTCCTTACCAGCAACCAAACGCAAAGGTACACACACTGTAACTTTGTCTTGAAAGAACGTTACGCATCGAACTGATGTTCACAATCATGTTTATTTCCTTCTTGGTACAATTATGAAACAGCGTGAAAACGTATTCGCCTAGACCGGCATTTACGTTCGCGCCTTTTTACTCTCACAAACATTGTAAACATCCGGGCTAGAGGTCACATGACTTCCGGTAAGAAAACTTGCCTCAACAACATTAAACAAAGTTCAAGCATACATGAAGCACTCTTCAAAAAGGAACAATCCTCCGTGTTTGAACCTCTTAAATCGCTGCATAGCCGATTAATTCTATTCTATTCTATCTTAATTCTATTTGTGAAAATACAAAAAAGGGAGATTTCAGTGCTTTTTTTACATGTAGACCACATTAGACCAGGTCCTGATCTAAAACCACTATACCTAGACTCATCAAATCTGGACTGGATTATCCCAGAGAGTCAAAAGATTCTTTATAACACAGTTTCAGATTTGTGAAACCTTAATTCTATTTGTGAAAATACAAAAAACACATTCCTAGTATGTTGTAAAACTACATGGCGACTAAACAGATCTTGTATCTTGCTTATTTTCCCCTCTTAGGAAAGCAGACACGGGATGCGAATTTCTTTGACACCGCCCAGGCGTTGGAGGACCGGCGTGCCGTGGTGAATGAGTCGCTGCGTGGAGGTCAGATGGTGCTGTTCACCAAGGCCCAGGAAACGGAGGACAAGATGCTCACCTCGATGGAGCGCCAGGCAGAAGTGTTCAAGCAGCAGATGGAGCGCCAGCAGCACCAGGATGAAGTGTGGGCGCTGCGCCATGAGGAAGCGTCGGCGCAGCGGCAGGATGAGCGACAAACTGCATTTAATAACAGTTTATTTGGTATAGTTTTTGTAAATACTGACACACGACACACACTAAGGTGTGTATGCTGCTGAGAATATCCCTACACCTGGGACAGTTTATTTTATATTGTTATTACTGTTATGACTTTATTTTATATATAATGTTTACTGACATGTACAACTGACACTTTATTTACATTTAAAATTGTTCTATTTAATGTTATGTCTTGAGAGTGCAATAAAGAAAACCGACATGGCGATTAAGCTTATTTCTCCTGACACTTTATCTTTTGTGACCTGTGTAGCATCCTATCCACATGTAAGTGATTATTCTGATACCATCATGTTTCATCGGTTATAAACTGGCAAAGCTTTATTTGTCATTTATTTATCATCAATGTTGCAACCTTGTGGGGGAATGGCAGGGGCACATACACAAATATGATAATTTATATAATTTTAAATATTATTTGACCTAAACTTTTAATTCCCCCCCATTTCACACAACACAACATGGAGTCCACTATGGGCCAAAACTAACATGTATGTTTGCATAGTGTTTATGGCAGACGGATGCAGTGGGTCTCAGGAAGATATATATATATATATATATTAGGGCTGTCAGTCGATTAAAATATTTAATCGCGATTAATCGCATGATTGTCCATAGTTAATCGCGATTAATCGCAAATTAATCGCACATTTTTTATCTGTTCTAAATGTACCTTAGAGGGATATTTTTCAAGTTTTTAATACTCTTATCAACATATGAGTGGACAAATATGCTTTATATGTTTGTTTATTATCATTTGAACAATGACAAATATTCTCATGAATATTAAACACAACAACCTCTGAACATTACAAATATTCGCCTCAATTCAACCTGGAACCTCTCTAATACAATAGTGTGTGTGTGTGTGTGTGTGTGTGTGTGTGTGTGTGTGTGTGTGTGTGTGTGTGTGTGTGTGTGTGTGTGTGTGTGTGGGTGTGTGTGTGAATGTGGAGACACTGTGATGGATCGTTAGAGCTATGTGCAGCTCAAGGCATATATGCTCCAACGGGAGCTGCCTGGACGCTGCAATCATGTAGCGCGTACTATCCGTGCTGAGTGCGCTGACTTTTCGTACAATGTCCCACTGTCTGGCTACCTGCATAAAGTCAAGTGCTCGGCGCAGTTGTCGGCGAAATGTCATCGAAACAGCTCCTTATATCCGTTAACGCAGCTAGCTAGCACCAGATGCTAACAACAACACGTAAGGTGTGCCTCGCTCGCGCGAGTCGCGCCACACATACACACTCCCTCCCGGTCCTCCCGATGGCCAGTCCGGGCCTGCCGGTGAGCGTGGAAGTGTGGTCTGCCACAAGCGGGCGGCAGGAGCGGGGCTGTCAGCATCAGCTTGTAGATGGTATTTTAAACTCGATGCGCTCTGAAACTACGGGGCGGCCGAGGACAAAAAATACACATGCGTTAATCGCGTTAAAATAATTAGTGGCGTTAATTTTTTTTTGCGTTAACGCGTTATTAACGCGTTAACTTGACAGCCCTAATATATATATATCATTAAGGTGGGTTTGCTGCTGAGACTCCCTACACCTGGCACAGTTTATTTTATATTGTTATTACTGTTATTATATAGTACAACTGACACTTTATTTTATATTGACAATGTTTACTGACATGTACAACTGACACTTTAGTTACATTTAAAATATTTCTATTTAATGTTATGTCTTGAGAGTGCAATAAAGAAAACCGACATGGCGATTAAACAGATCCTGTATCAGCCATCCTACGGTGAAACATGGCAATCATGTGTGCTTTCCGTCGGCCAATCCTTTTCCTAAAGCTTTTGAACTGCCTTTGATGCTGAAGAAACTTTGCGATTATAGCATTCGACGTGTGGCGGCTCCGGATTTTTGTCGGACGCCTAATAGGCTCAGGCTCTGGCCGCATTAACGAAGTTACAAAGCTGTATAACATGACAGCACAACTTCAGTCGACTCCATCTCCATCATGTCTGAGGTCGGAAGGTAAACAACAGACAGTATACGCGGTAAGTTTTTCTTCTTCTTCTTCTCTTGTTTTGTAGCGGATTGCAAACAACTTTAAGGTGCTTACCGCCACCTACTGTACTCGCCGTGAAGTGGTTTGTGGCCTGCCAGTAAAGCCAAAGCTGAAGAAGAAGAAGTGACGTCAGCGGCTCATTTGCGTAATCTTCCCTCAGGGAAAAGTACTCCGGTGTGAACGCGATCTGTACTAAGTGCCCTGGGGTTAAAAGCGCCGGGGCTCTTATGGCGCGTTTCCACTACAGCCCGCAGCCCGGTTTAAGAGGGCTGTGACGTCAGCGGCCCGTTTGTGGTTGCGTTTCCACTTGGCCTAGTACCGGCCGGCTGGTCCTAATTCACAGTTTTTCTGGCCTCATAAAATCGTGGGGCCAGGGCCAGAGACAACCGGGCTGAGTTTGTGATGTCAACGCTCTCGGCTGCTGATTGGTCGGAGAGAATCGTCACAATCGCGCGCGAGATAATCCCTAGCGTCGCATATATATATAGCGATGCTTGCAGCATTTTTACAAACAGCATTTTTGTCAACAGAGGATTAACAATGGCAAAGAAAAGCACACCATGGTCGGTCGAGGAAGTCACGACGTTCCTCCATTACATTTCTGATGAAAAGATCCAGCGGGAGCTCGACGGGATGACTCGAAATATTAAAGTATTTCAGGAGGTGTCTACACTAATGGCCACAAGCGGGTA